TTCCATTTTCTTTTCCACTATCCCTATATAACCCAATACATACCCCCAATCTACTATAATTAGTAGTTTCCATTTTCTTTTCCATTATCCCTATATAACCCAATATATACACCCAATCTACTATAGTAGTTTCCATTTTCTTTTCCACTATTAACCATGGAGTTGCTGAACACCTTGAGCCCCAAACCCTTAGCAGCGTCCTCAAGGCCATCGGCTGGCGATGCCAGTTCACGCGCCTGACCCGCTTGCAGAACCACATAGGGTTTAGGGTTTAGGGTCTAGGGTTTAGGGAGAGCTGGAAATGACTGAGCAGCACTCACAAAGCCTGCAGATCCCACGTAGGTAAGTGAGCTCCTACCCCTACCCTAGACCGGACGTAGTAATGTCGGACCCGGTGTAGCATAGGGATCCGCAATAATAACTTTTTCGGGGAAATTATTCAGGATCTGCTATTGTTTGAAGGGTCCAGAATAACAAAATTTTCTGGTGCCAAAATGAGAAACAACTGCTTTTTCTACCTAGGTTAGCTTTGCTTTCAAGGCCTTAAAGGATTTTAATCCTGGAGTCCTAGAGCTCTAGCATCACAGCTTTTACATATAAGGCCTGATATTAGAGAATCCAAAAATCTGTCATCTCAGAGACCCCAGCTCCATATAAACCGTTTTGTCGGGATTATGAGAAATCAAAGGGCCCATCAATTTTTGTGGGGGGTTAGTCCAGCAGAGGCCCGGATCCTCAATAAGGAATTGTCTTAGGGGTCCGGAATAATAATCCACTCCGCCAGCCGTGACGATTTTGCAATTTGCAAAAATGTTAGATTCTAAAAGCTTCTGGCTATAGAGCCAGATAATTGTATAGCTATGAATCCTTGGAATCCGTGAAAGCCGCGTAATCCGTAAATCCCGCGAAGCCAGCTCCACATAAACAGCTTTATTGGGATTATTAGAAATCATAGGGTCAGTCAATTTTTGCCGGAGGGGGGGGGCTCTGGGGGGTGGTCCAGCAGAGGCCCGGATCCTCAATAAGGGATAATTTAGAGGTCCGGAATAATAATTCATTCTGCCAGCCGTCCATATTTTCAGATTTTCAAAAGGATGTATTTCAATTTAAAAGGCCCCGAGTCTTTGGACATAAAGCAAAGTAACGATTTTCATTCGGTTTCAACTGATCTCAATTTGATTTTCACTGTTTTTACTTGAATCTACATGGATTTTCAAGTGGATTTCCTATAGAACCTGGTTAGGTTTAAATAAATCGCAATTGGATTTCAATTGGCTTGGGCTAGATTTCAATATGCTTCATTCGGATTTCAATCAAATTTGGTTTAAGTGTAATTAGATTCGAAAGTGGTTTACATTCGATTTTCAATTGGTTTCGAGCTGTTTGATTTTTCTTGACCCTTGCTTGATCTTAAATAGGTTTCCAGTTGAATTTGATTAGGTTTGAATTAACATGTAATCAAACTTCAATTGATCTGAATTAGGTTTTAATCAGTTGCAATTGGTTTTCTAATTAGATGCTATTTGCACCGAATTAGATGTATATTTAGTTTGAACAGCTTTCCAATTGGTTAAATAGGGGTTTGAATAGGTTTCAATGCTAATGGTAGTGCCGGGCCGGTACTTACACCAATACGAAATCAAATACCAGCTTCAAGGCTACTACCGAGATTCCAGGTTTTTATCGATGTTAATTGCGCGGCAAATTTGGGGGGGTGGCCGAATATTAAAGAGGAATCTAATTGTTCCAGGGGGGGGCCCCCTATACTAAACAGGGTCCAACATTAGAACCAGCCCTATGCGGATATGTGCTGTTTATACAGCCTTCGGCCCCCCAGAAACAAATACAAACGAGGTTCGCTTATGCACGATTTGGGTATTGTATACGGGATCCCGAAACACCAGTTCCAAATCAAGCCCAACATTCACGAATCTACCAGGACACTCCTTGTACCCTTAATTAGGGGTATATGGTCCCTAATAGTGGGTATTTAGGGGTATATAGAGGGTAGATGGAGGGTCTAGGTACTGTTGAATTCCAACCCGATGGTTATTGACCACATCTCGGGATTCCTGACATGGGATTCGCGAACATATAGATGCAAGTTCAGGAACGGCAGCACAATTTTCCGAAACCTTAAACGGGTCCGATAGAGTGCCATATAGGGGATGACTATAGGGGTAACTAAGCAGGATACTAGGCGTTTAGACTATAGCTTAGGTTGTCTTTATGCCTGCCATCCACATTTAGGGCTTCGGGGCCCTAAGGATCATTGTAAGATAAGGTAACATTAAAGACCTAAACCCTAAACCCTAGACCCTAAACTCCAAGTTATATAGGTTGGCATTCTGAAGTCTCCAATGCTGTGTACTTAACTCCAAACCTTAAACCCTAAACGGTTTAGGTTGGGTACTGCCCTCCCCCCAGTAACAGTTGGATAATAACTATAATATGGTTGTATATAGC